ATTTTCCTCAGATGGAAAGTCATTTGATCACTATGTACAGTCCGAATGAACACTTAATTGTGTAAAGGTGATATTTATTTATAAACGGAACACCTGGATATTGCAGAAAATTGAGAAAATATTAAAAAACAATGAAAAACTACCATTTCGCCATCCAAAGGTAGCCACCAAAACACATACATTTTGTATTTCTTTTCGTTTTTACGAGTGTGTGTTTATAAAACCTCTTTATATTTTTACTTGATATATCCTGGGTATTTTTCCATGCGACTCAATATTTTTTAATAATGTGATTTCTGATGGCAGAGCGACAGCCATTGCATGGGCATATTATTGAACTATTCTGTTGTTGGTCACATGGGATATTTACAATTTTATTTGTTTATATATATAATATGTAATATAAAATTTCCTCGAGAGGGAATTATGTATCATTTTAAAGATTATTTCCATTTTTAAAAATACTCTTATTTCTTTATTTAAGTAATCTCTGTGTCCAATATGGGGCTTGAACTCAAGACCCCCAGATCAAGGGTCACACACTCTACCGACTGACCCAGCCAGGAGCCCCAAGGTTGTTTCCATTTTTAGCTATCTTCATACTCATTGTCCAATTGTCCTCCTCGAAAGTTACATGAGTTTACATGACCGTCACCAATGGATAGAAGTTAAGGCATGAGGAGCCAGCATGGGTCTTAGCACTACACATTTCATTTACAAATTAACCTCCAAAAGGGTATTCCCTCCTGACCCCACCGTGCAGTTCATTTGAGCATTCACTGTGCACGGCCCCACCCTAGGGCCATTACTGGTTTCGTCATCACCTGAATAGCAATTGGCTCAAAACATCACTCATTGTGATGCTGGTGATGTGGCCTCCTTAGTGTTCTAAAAGATTGTTTGGTATAACCGCCTCAGCTCAGGGTTTTTCTCTAACCTTTCCTATCACATTTGAAGTCAGAATTCAAATACTGTACAGTTTAAGTTACAGAATGCCTGGCCTGTAACTTGGCTCAAGGCATTAATATTTATGTCATTTTTGTCTGCTTATTATACTAACAAGGTGGAAAAAGCTATCCCAGTCCTTCCCACAAGGTAAAATTCTGGGGTTTTTTTTTTTTTTTTTGGTCTATTACTAGAGTTTTAAAAATAGGTTAGATAAATAACAGTACATTTAGGATTAAGTACACACTGAGAGTTTTATGAGATCGTTCATGAAGAGTATATTTAAGCCCAAACTTAATATAAAATTTCATTTCTTGAGAAACGTGGTGGGAGATAGTACAAAACTAGAGTATTAACTTTTTTTCTTAAACAGCATGTTAATTTATACAAACATAAGATATATTAATTCTATTTAAATTACATAGTTTTTCAACAAAAGGGATGAAAAAGGCATCTTTTCTTGTGTCTGTTAACCTTTGAGTCAAAATGGTTTGAATTTTGACTCATCTCAGTGGAAGCTATTTGCTGTGTCCTTTTCTCAATGACTTTTTATTTAATTTGAAGCATGGCTTAAAACAGTTGCCATTAATGAAAAAAATTAAAAGATTAAAAACATGAAATGTTTCACAGACAATAATTCTGTTTTTTATGTGTCTATTGATGCAAATTCTACCACTAGGTAGGCTATCAATATCACAAAAGTCATTTTAAATTGAATAATTTACCCTAGAGAAGATTGTACTTCCTTATAAAAAAGTATTTTTTACTCATTCTCGTGCTTTTCCTGTAGTCCAATATCATTTGGTAATTTGATTCTGAATTTATGGAAATGGAATATTCCATGAATGTTTTCCAAACTGAATAAAATGTCTAAAACTGTCTTCATTTCAAGCTCTCCCTGACATTTTGGCCAAACAACTGAATACAGATACTTCTTTTGCCGTGTCTTCCTATGAATGTTGCCCGAGTGATAGCTTCGTATTTCTCTCATCTCATCATTCAGAAGCTATTTATCCATGTTTTTCCACTGCCTCCTTTAAGTCTCCGCCCTGTCCCCCCCATCACTGAATGCCTGTTCAGCCCCCACACATTCAGGCGTATTTATTCCCGTAAAGATAGTGACACTTATGGTTTATTCTAAGACTAAATCTGTGTTGCCCAGTGACTAAGGACTTAAGCATGCACACTGCTTCTACGTTTACCCTCCTACCTAACTTGACTACTCAACTTTATTTGTTGCCCTCAGAATTTTCTGTTTTGGCACAGTTCAGTTAACATACCACGGCCAGGCCACTAATTGATTTCTGAAACCTGACATTTGTTTTTTGTTTTCTCCTATCTTCCCTAATGGTACAGCACTACTAAGCAGGAAGGAATGCAAAGAACTAGAAAGTTCAAAGTAATTGAGGATCTGTCCATTCACCCTGTCTGGCGTCATGCCAATGTAGAACCTGGAACATTTGAAAAATATTCATCAAGGTTTAACCCTTTTTGCTAAGGTCGATGACTTAGGTTTGTAGCGGTAGTGTTTGTGTTAACAGCAAGGCAGCTTGGTTGAACATGTTCTTTATAGGTTCAGAATCGCATGGCAAATGTCTGAGAAAGGGATTACTTTCCAATTTCTGGGCTATTGTACAGGGCTAAGCTAGTTATTTTCTGTGAGACTGCAGAGCCGGGCATTTCAGAGAAACCATTACTTAAAAGTGGCAGCCCTATTTTATGAATCCTTATGTCAGAAATGAAATTTAAATAAATGCTGCTATATTTGAACAAGAAAAGATTGTATTCCACTTTTCTGCCATAAGTGTGTTGAGAGCATATAGCTAGGTTTGTGTCTTTATTCATTATGAAAAGTGGAAGTGTGAAAAAAAATTAACAGGATTATACAAATATTTTGTTAAAAGCCTATCAAATAGCTGGGTTTTGTTTTGCTCTTGAGAAAGCGTTTGTAAATGAAAGCATGCTAAAAAAATGGTGGGAAATATCGAAACATTTCCAGTAAAAATAACTGGATTTTGTTTCGGTGAAAACTTAGGTTGAGATAACAGGCCACTGATGCTCTGATAAAAAAGACAAAAGAAAATGTTTAGATAGGCTTAGAGGCAAATTAAAATATAAATTGCTACCAAAAAGTATTGAACCTACATCAAAAAGAGTATAAAAGAGTTCTATTAAGACGTTATCATATTCTGTTTTGATCATGTTACCAGCATTATAACACCCTTCAATTTTCAATTTTTAAAAAAATGATATTAAATTCCATACCAATTCTGTACTCTTGTCTAAGTTATTTGATTACATATTTGTTCAATATTAGAGAAAATCGGGACAGCTTTTAAAAGGTAAAGGTGTATACTATAGGACTATCTGCTTAGAAAAAGCTTGCAAAAACACTTATTAAATACTACTTTGGTAACATGAAAGTAGTCGTCAACCATTCTCTGGAAGAAGTGGTCACAGCTATAAAAATGAATCATTTATTAGCAAGAAGGAAATGAAAAGGAGGAAAAAATATTTTACAGCATAATTTTGTTTTCTAATAATAAATTCCTCTAATATTTCATGTGTACATATATTTTTTTAATCTACACATAGAAATGAGATACATATTTTAATAGGTCCACTCTTTGAAGTGAATATTTTTCCAAGAACTCGTTTTTGGTTGTTGTTTTTTTTTTAAGCTGTTATCTTGTGAAGTGTGAGTAGGTGATTGTGTATGTAAAATTGTCTCATGGTATAGTGTGCTGTCAACATATATACATATGTAGTAAAATACCAGGCATTTTTATTGCAGTTTATTGTTTCAGCTTCTCCATAAAGCCAGATAAAATCATACACAAGAACATTAAGGATTAGGGGAGTGTTTTCCTTAGGTGATTGTTGGCAAAACTTCACCTTCCCATCATAATATAGTTAATGGGTGGTAATATGTTTGACTATTACTTTCCTACAAAATTGGATTCCCAGTTTTCAGAGTTGCTGCGCGTCTGATGTTTGTGGCTTCTTTGGTCATCTTTTCGTAGGAAAAGGTGTCACAGTGTTAGGTAAATGTGCTACGTTTCTGTTTTGTAAATATTAAACTCCATTTTTCTTTAAACATGAAGTGCTAGCAAAAACAAGTCAAAGATGTAATCACTATTTAAATACATTTGAACTAGCCAGTCCTTAGTGCTTAAATTAGATTCCATGCTTCGGCTAGAATATTTACAAAACTGTAAGTATTAAAAACTTCAGAATCCCTGTGGCCTATCCCCCTCCCCTCCATACACAGATGCAAGGTAAAATGTGTGTGCAAACTTCTTCTAACCGTTTAAGTACTGTAGGGAAAAACAAGTTTGTATGCAAGAGCTTAAAGAAAAATACTTGCCATTAAACCTTTTATTTAGGACATTCCGGATTTGCTTTGCTAAATGGACATATTCACTGCTAAAGACACACAGAGACAAGAGCTGTTTTTAATGTTTATCAAACCGCCCCTAGTTCTCCGCCCAAGAAAAATACATTTTGTATATTTAAAAATACACACTCCTGAAATAAGTCTCTAATAACCTTGGCGCCCCAACCTAGCTGCCTTCTGGGTTTCAGCTTTTGAGTTTCAGGTCCTTGCACAACACCTAAGACGTGCAAAACTCTTTTTCTCCCTAATCCTGGCAGAGAACAGTCCGAGATCTCCCTCCACGTCTCCACCCTAATTCCCTCTCTTCCTAGATTCTACCCGCTTCTCTCCTTTCCTCCGCCCCCGGCTCAGTCAGCCCAATCTGTCAGAGAAGTTGTGTACAAACTGCGCGGCCGCCCTGCGCGCGAAAGCTCGTGGCCCGAGAGGGCGGGTCAGCCTGGCAAAGGCGGGGCCCTGGGCGAGCTTCCCTTTTCTCATAGGCTGGCCACTCCGGCCCGGCCGGCCTCGGGGCCTCGGGATTCGCCGCAACGCTGCCAGTCAGGTTGGAGGGCCCCGCCCACCCGGAGTTGGGTAAAATAGAGGCGGGCGTCAAGTGTCAGTAGTCGCGGGGCAGGTACGCGCGCTCGCTGCTCGCTCGCGGAGACCGGCGGTGGCGGGAGTGGGCTCGGGCGAGTGAGAGAGCGCGGTGGGGCGGGGCGGGAGAAAGTGGCCGCCTGGAGGACGTTGGCGTTGACGCGTGGCGGAGCGGAAGAGTTTTGCTTTTCGTGCGCGCCTTCGAAAACCGCGCCTGCTGTTGGCTGAGGGGGTCAGCCCGGAGCCTCCCCTTCTCCGCCCGCGGCCCCGCGCCGAGCTCGCCGGCCCGAGTCAGCGTGGGCGAGTTAGGAAGCGCGCCCGACCCGCGTCCCGCGCCCGGAGTCGCTCCCTGAGTGCCAATGGCCACGCGGGTGCTGACCATGAGCGCCCGCCTGGGACCCGTACCCCAGCCGCCGGCCCCGCAGGACGAGCCCGTGTTTGCGCAGCTCAAGCCAGTGCTGGGCGCCGCGAACCCGGCCCGCGACGCGGCGCTCTTCCCCGGCGAGGAGCTGAAGCACCCGCACCACCACCCGCAGGCGCAGCCCGCGCCCCCGCAGCCGCCGCAGCCGGCGCCGCCGCCCGCCGCGGGCCCGCGGCTGCCCCCCGAGGAGCTGGTCCAGGTAGGAAGAGCCGCTCCCCTCCCTCCGCCCCCTCCCGGAGCTCGGGCGTGTCCCGCCGCTGCGACGCGCGGGCGACAGGGGCCGCTCCAGGCTGGGGCGTGCGTCGGGGCGCTCCGGGAGCCGGGAGCCGGGAGCTGGGTGGGCAGCCCCTCCCCGCCCTGCCCTCCTGGCCTGAGCACCCTCAATCCGCTGGGACAAAGTGGGGGGACTGGAAAGGGGGGGGTCCAGATGAATCTGCCCAGGCGGGTCCGTCCGGGGAAAGGTTAGAGGGAAGTGGGTGCTCACACATGCACCTCAGTGTTTCTTAGTTTGGGGGACGAGACCTCACACCTGACGTCCAGCTTTACTTAAATCCCGCCTTTCACCTTAAAGTCCCCCTCCCGCCTCAGTACCCTGCCCTTGGAGGTTCCCCCGCGTCGTCTCGGGTTTAGTGTTAACGCAAATCGGGGTGCCGGAGAGAGGCGCCTCGGGGTGCTAGTTTCGTGTCTCTTGGCTCAGCCTGCTTTAGACGCGTTCTCGCGGCCGCCTTTGGGAACGGAGAGTTAGAAAAGCTCAGGTTGTATTGGAGCGCTTTATTTTTCCTTAAAAAGAAAGACCAAAAAAGACCGGGGGTGGTGTTTTCTTCATGTGCGCGTAAATTTCCTCCCGGAGCCGCGTTGAAAGCTGGCAGTTGGCTTTTACACTTGCCCGGCAGCCGAATTAGAGCAACCGCCTGTTTCTTTCGCCCACGCAGGGAGTCATATAGCCCAGAAAAAACTTCCCGGGACTTTTAGCCTGTCCCAAGGAAAAAAAAAAAAAAAATTGGAAACATACCCACATGCAAACAGCTGGAAGAGCTAAAATCAGAAACCACTAACCACCACGGGAGCGAAGTGCACGAAAGGGTTTAGTTCGGTTTATTTCGAGACGCCTCATTTAATAGCCCCTCGGTATATTGCGTATTTGCTGCCCAGCTCCTGCTCCGGGTGGTCGGCGAGCGTCGTCGTGCTGTGAAAGGGGGGGTGGCATTTGTCAGGGATGTGACTCACACGACTAGAGCGTTCATTTTTATTTTTGAATCGTGTGTATCTGGGAAACCCAGTCTGCGTCCGCACTGAATGATACCAAGCCCGATATGAAACGCTCTTGAAATCAAGTAGTAGGAAAAAAAATTTTATATATATATATATACATACATGTATATATTTATGTATGTATTATTTGCCAGTTTGGTTAATAGTTCAATATGATGAGCCATTTAATTGGGGTGGGGTTTTTTTCCTCTTAAAATTTACTTTTCAGTGTTAAAAAATTAAAATAAAAATGAAGTTTGTTAAACTAGAATAGAAGATAGCTGTAAAAAGGCAGGGGGAAACAATCTGGATTTTGTCCTTAAAAAAGTCATCACTTGGAAGTGGTTTGGTAATTTCAGGCTTGTCTCTTTCCTGCCTAAGAGACAGGGAGAGGATGAGGGATGATTGAGCTTTTTACAGAGTAGGGGGGAATGTAGCATTGGCCCATTGAGGAGGACGTGATAAATGTTTTGCTGATGACTGTGCTAGTGATACAGAGCCTCTCCCAACCCACGGGCGCCTTAGCACCACTCTACCAAGGGAGTGATTTTCCCCTAGGTAATTAAAGATCTGTTTTAGATAGGGATATGAATAGGAACATTTCATTATCATATTAACCAATTACAGAATCTGCTGATTAAAATCAACGTTTAGATCAAATGTTGAAAGTGAAGTTGTTTTGTTCTTTCTCGGTGGATACTGTGTTTTGCTCAAGACTTTGTATTTAAGTTTCCAGTGACCTATAAATGAGAAAAGGCACTGAAATAGCCAAGGAATATGTTTTATATTAGATATTTTAACAATATCTATCCAAACAAAACAAAACAGAACTTTGCAATATTATTTTTAAGGTTGGTTTGCTTAGGTTTTGTTTAAACATACCTACATTAATATAAATATGGCACGAACAGCACTGTGAGGTGGTTTGGCAATATTACAGGACCATACTTAGGTTGCAGACTCAACTATTGGGGCAGGAAACCCTACTTGTATGTGAGTTATAAAAAAGTATACTTTATTACTGATTAGAAAGGAACATGTTTTCTCTTTGCTTTTTTTTTTCTCCTTGATTTGCCTCTTTCACTTTTTGTCCCGGGCCGCTTGTGGGAGCGATTTTTATCAAATACATGTTAAAGAGAATTTCAAGAGGCTTTCGGTAAACCAGTTCTTACACAATTGACAAATAAATCTGATATGTTTATAAGCAACACCCAGGAGTTTGCCCGAGTACTTCTCACAGGGATTGTTGGGAGAATTTTTAGTAAGGCTGTTGTTACTCAGATGATGAGTCGGGTGGATTATGCATGTTTGTCTCTTTTCTTTTTTAGACACGATGTGAAATGGAGAAGTATCTGACACCTCAGCTTCCTCCAGTTTCTATAATTCCAGAGCATAAAAAGTATAGACGAGACAGTGCCTCAGTCGTAGACCAGTTCTTCACTGACAGTGAAGGGTTACCTTACAGTATCAACATGAACGTCTTCCTCCCCGACATCACTCACCTGAGAACTGGCCTCTACAAATCCCAGAGACCGTGCGTAACACACATCAAGACAGAACCTGTTACCATTTTCAGCCACCAGAGTGAGACGACCGCCCCTCCTCCGGCCCCGACCCAGGCCCTCCCTGAGTTCACCAGTATATTCAGCTCCCACCAGACCGCAGCTCCAGAGGTGAACAACATTTTCATCAAACAAGAACTTCCTACACCAGATCTTCATCTTTCTGTCCCTCCCCAGCAGGGCCACTTGTACCAGCTACTGAACACACCGGATCTAGATATGCCCAGTTCTACAAACCAGACAGCAGTAATGGACACTCTTAATGTTTCTATGTCAGCCGCCATGGCCGGCCTTAACACACACACCTCTGCTGTTCCGCAGACTGCGATGAAACAGTTCCAGGGCATGCCCCCTTGCACATACACAATGCCAAGTCAGTTTCTTCCACAGCAGGCCACTTACTTTCCCCCGTCACCACCAAGCTCAGAGCCTGGAAGTCCAGATAGACAAGCAGAGATGCTCCAGAATTTGACCCCACCTCCATCCTATGCTGCTACAATTGCTTCTAAACTGGCAATTCACAATCCAAATTTACCCACCACCCTGCCAGTTAACTCGCAAAGCATCCAGCCTGTCAGATACAACAGAAGGAGTAACCCTGATTTGGAGAAACGACGCATCCACTACTGCGATTACCCTGGTATGTGATTATTTTTTGCCTGGTTGAAGCATCAGTAGGTGTGCATGTGTGTACCTTTAACCTCAGGTTTTAAATTTACATACGAAAGTAGTCCTTGACATTGAAAAAATCACCTACTTTGTTCTTTTCATATCTCAGTCTCCATACGATACCCTGGGATGTAACTGTCTATTGCTCATTTTATGTATTAAAATGGCTAGAATATTCTAGGGGGAAAAAAGTTAGTTGGACTTCTTTATTTTTAATATTAAGTAAAAATTTGAATTTTGAATTATGCTAGAGTTCCTTTAACACCTGAGTTGGAGTTTTATTTCTATATTAAGGGCCCTGAAAAGAGATTAAGTTCGGAAAATAAAGTGTGGAAATGAAGTGGGGATTGAATGAGCTGCTCTTATGATGGCCGATTACAGGACTATTTTACAGAACAGATTTAAGGATAGTTCTGTTAACATTGGAGTGTATGCTCATTCTTGAAAGAGATGTGGCCCAAAATATAAACTGATGGTCGTAATGACTTTATCTACAAGTTGCTGGCATAAGCTAGTTTATGATTAATACAGGGTATAATTTATTGACCATGGTACATGACACAGCATGATATACTAAATGAAAAAACAAGAAATGTAGTAGTATAGAAAATTGCAGTCATCTTGGATAATGGTTTAACATCATCAGCTCTAGAGCCCTTAAAAGTTTTTACGTTGCTGAAGTATATGTTACTAGTAAAAAGCGCCTACTGTAATAGAAACACAGATTTCCCATTTGTAGCTCAGTTGATGATCTGCTCTTTCTGTTACAGTGGTACATAAAGTAAATCACTTTATTACCTTTAATAAGGTAACAGGGGAGCACTCTTTAAAACTTCTATTAAAACTGACGCTTCAAATATCTCCTCTAGCATGAGAGATTTCTTCTTTAAAGCCAGATTTTAAACACTGAATCATCAAATGTAAAGATTTCAAAAGGATCTCCAAAATGACAAGCTGTTCTTCCTCTCCTTTATTTCAGGCTGCACAAAAGTTTATACAAAGTCTTCTCATTTAAAAGCTCACCTGAGGACTCATACTGGTATGTAATTTTCTTGTTAATTCTGTGAGTTGTGTAAATAGTGTAAGTGGTATTCATCCTTTTAAAAGCCAACACGTGTTTGATCTCTTCTTTCTTCTGTCAACTTTTATTTTTTAATGGCCTACCTTTTCAGCACTGGCTTGGCTCAGAATTCAGTTCCACGAAGAAAAGTCTGGTTCCAGGAAGGCTGATGTTCCCTTACCAAGGCCTTGCCCTGTCACCTCACGTAGAATTAATTACCTAAAAATGTAAACAATAATGTTTACTAATGGATTTTAAAACTTTAATGGCATTGCTATTCCTGTCTTGAAGGAGAAAAAATGTAACTCATTTTCTTTCCTCCATAACAAATCAGTTGGGTTCCACAAGCTATATCAAATGCTAAAAACTTTTCCATTTAGCATGTAAAGCATAACTGCTTAATACATTGTCTTTAATTTCACCTTTAACCTGAAATCTCTGTGAGCAGGTTTTCTGTGGTGGATGAAAAAAAGGTAGGGCTGAAATTGCAGAGTATTAAAATCAGGCAAAGAGGGGGTCATGGTTTAAAAGTTATTCTAAACTCTGTGCCACCCCATATTTGAGGTATTTGAGACTATTCTAGCTTCTAGTTCATCCTTGTTTAGAATGTGCTTTTAAGCTTAGTCACTTTAATTTTATAAATGTTTGGTCAGATCTATACAATCACTTTTAAGTGCTTTTAATTTTAAAACTGTATTTTAGAACCCATTTTAGGACCAAAGTACATGGCATGCTTAGAAAGCTTCCAAATACTCCAAATATTTTCAAATACATAGGTGATTAACTATTTGTGGTTTTCTGAAAAGGCCAGCCCTAAAGGAAAGAACTTATACAAAATGATTGTTATTTTTTCCTGTGTCTCCGTAAATTCAGCCTTACCTAAAGTTCAAAGAATAAGTTTGCTAATAAAAGCCATGACCTAGCAAAATGTTTTATTCCATCATTGCTATGGAAACCAAAGTATTCAACAGTTCCTTTGAATGGGTTGTTGGATTAGTGTGAGGACTTGAATCTCCCCAGGCTAGATGTTACTATGGAAATTGAGTTTTGATAAATGAAGTAGTTATCTCTAACTGCTGCATTAAAAAGTAAAAGCCTTTGAACAAAGGTCAGTGCTGAGATACCGCACTGGAAGAATATGGCTGCAGACATTTTGTATGCATGCAAGGAAGTATTACTTGATATCTCAGTGATAAACAGTACTTATTAAAATCTAAATAGTGTTGGCAACAATGGTAGATTCCAGGACTTTCTGAGAAATTGCTTTTAAAGAAAAGACATCTCATGGTATTTATCAATGAAGTGAATGGGTTGTTTTGGCCTGAGGTATTTAGATATAGGCAAGGTGATTGTATAAAAGGAAAGACCCTACGTAAGCAGCTCAGAGTAGAAATTATATTTATAGTTCAACAAACAACCATCAAGCTTATAATAAACTCATTCTAAGGTTTTCAAAATGCAAATGATGGCCAAGCAAACATTCCATATAGAAATACTAAAATAGGCATTTATAGAATAAATATTATATTAGGGAAGGAAACATTGAAAATGGGTTTTTACCTGAATTTTGATTCATGGGAAATGGAAATAAATTTTAAACATTTGAACTACTGTTTTTTTCTTCTTGAAAGTCCTTGAAATGGGAGATAGGAAGGAGGGAACATGTTTTTCATGAGGTTAAAGTCTCCTAATAAAAGGAGTGCAATTGCATATCATGCTGTAATCAACTGCTTATTGCCGGGATGTAGTCAGAGCGTATCTGAACGGCCTTACAACCCTTGTCAGGGTTTAGTGCTTGGAATGCTTATAGCTGGGATTCTGGAACTTGACCTGCTGGCAAAGAAATTTAATAGCAGGCTGTCTTAACAATGCCTGTACTAATAAAATCAAACTAAAAAGAGGATCCGGGCCTAGTTAGGGTCCCAAGCATCAACTTTTTCACCTGATCATAAATGCATGGCCATCGACATCTAATGAATGAGACCATGTAATCCAGTTTAATAAAGTTTTGTTTGATAGTCTCTCAAATGCCTTGGGGAGGGTTTGTAGCCAACCTGTTCATCTGGCTAAACCCGTTCTTGGGTAATCATAGAGCATTGAGGTTGTTTTCTCCTCATTTCTAGTTTCTAGACAATGTCTTTTAAAATTACCTGTGCTCTCTCATTGCATCCTCTCTGCCTTGCCTGTTGTTTTTTAATGAATGTATCTGAAGCCAGAAAATTCTTGTTTTTTTCCCCTTTTCCTTTTAAGGCCCAGGTATTTCTAAATAACTTCTTACATATAATACCTTTCTGGGTTTTTTTGTTGTTGTTACACGCCCCTTACTACACCCCCCACCTCCTGACCCCGCCCTGGACAATTTGTTAGATTTTTCAAATAATCTATATGGGATAGATCTTGTATTTGATACAAAAATTACTTTTTAAACGATTGCCATTTTGCAGGCAGAATGTGAAAAGCACCCTAGCATTTCTTTGGAATATAATTGTAATTGCTTTAAAATGTCAAGTTACCTTATGTTGTAAAAATGATTTAAGCAATTAAAACAAACTACATCTGAGTTCTATTTACTTACTTATTCTGGATTTTTAGACCCTAAATGCTTCTTAACTTGACTTGCAAATTGAACATGAAGAAATGGTCTTTCAAAAACAAGAACTTTAAAAAAAAATTAGGATGAAAGTGGAAGATACCAGCAGAGACCATAGCATTCAAGTTTTTCTGAGTTCACACACTTTGAGTTCTGTATATATAAAGAACATACAAGTAATACAGGGGTCCATCTTGGCATGGTTACATAGTACCTGAAATGTACTTTGCCTGCAACCTAGGAAATAGTTCTACTTCACTTAAAAACATGTTATATACACATGTGATAACATACTTGCAGGTCTAGAGAGGTCCCCCTCATGGGGTTTGTGTTATTTGTAATGTATGTATATACATACCGCGCCTCTGGTTAGAAATAATTATAGCTGCTTTTAGGCAACAGTGTCAAGTACTATATTGGACTTTTAAAAGCATTTAAGTGAGCATCGTACTGAAATTTGTTATGCCTTTTGAGGTACACAAGGGGCTATGCCCACTGCCATCATTTAAAAGTTGCTCCTCAGCATCTTATAAGGAAAAGATTCACATATCACTTTGCCCTTACAAATCAACATGATTGTTTAACTGATTCACGAATCAGAATAATCTGTAACCAGCAGGATAGTTGTTTCTGCTCATATAGTTTGCTATCTTTAATTTCATAATGGAGACTTAAAGTAATTCTGAGCACAGGCTTGGAGCCAAAAAAGGCAAAATGTAATAGGAAAAAAAAAAACTAAGGCTATATATACAAAGAAAAATTTGCAAGAAATTGAAAATTTTTCATGTCACCGCTACTGGTTTCTTGGTGTGCCTATGAATATTGCTTTTACATCGAGTTTGGAAATTTCTTTGAAAATGGTGTTTATGGTTTAGCAAAAAGTGCTATTCTCCAAAGAAGAAGTTCTGAGAAATTGTGAACTCAATACAGATGTTTGAAATCCTGGTGATTTTAGTCACATGTGTGGATATGTACTTGACCCTAAAGAATATGCTGAAGTGGTTGGGAAATTAAGGTATGGTAACATTTTTTAGATCATTTATCAGTCTCGGCTATCTGGAACAGGACAGAAAATGAGCAGTTGTACAGAGAAAGTCTTTGAGCAGCACACAGGCTTGGCTCAGGTATCCCTTAGACTGAAACTGTACGCACAGGCCATGACGTGGGCACTAACTCGCAGAACGGCTTGCCAGGCGTTGACAAGAAAAGGACAATTGGAAACACCCCCACAGAGGAAAATGGAAACCTACAATAACATAGGAACACAAAATGGTCTCAGTGAAGCATTATACTGCTAGTGGGCTCAGTTTGGATGCCATTTTTTTTTTTAATTAAGAGAATTCCATAGTTAAGTTTTGGAAAGATCTTTAGCCCAAGCCTCATATTAAGGGGGTAAATTCCCAGGTTGTGTCCTACCTGCTTATGCAGAACACATTATTTCCTAATGACATTTATATTAAGATGTTACTATATATACTGTAAAATGTATAATCTCTGCCCGAGATGATTTTAGTTTCAGTTTAGGTTCTAAAATCCTGATGTATAATTATCTATCTAGGTCTTTATTCTACACTTGTTACCCATTTAACATGTTAGGTATAGATTTGCATCTAAAAATATTGACAATGTTGACAATAAAGAGATTTTCATTCGTGGTACTTTGCCACTAAAAAAAACATTGAAAATGTTCCAAGCATGAGTTACTCCTTTTTTTGTGGAATTGTGGAAGGGAGTAAAAGGCTTTAAATACATACATATATAAACAATTTCACTTCCTTAGAAAATTATTTAGAGCTAAAATCAGCTTCAAGACTCTCTCCCTCTCCCTGTAGATAGCTAGCTAGATCTGATAGAGGGCCTTAATCCACATCATCCAGTTTGGATCTAGATATCAGTACATTGGTATATAACCTGGTAACCTGTGTTTGGTAGAGGTGGAAAAGTGCAGGATGAGATTATTTAGTGTCGAATGGATTTTTTTAGTCTATTTGAAAAATATGCAGGAAAAAGTATCACATTTAGCTTGTTGTGTCAGATGTTACTAGTTAAAATTCCTAAATTATTTTTATTTGCAGCTTTGAGATTTGTTTTCTATATTGATGATTTCAAGCTTATGTAAGAAAAGTAGTGGCTTAAGAGGCTTGCTAGTTTAGACCCCTGAAAAGGTATTTGAGTGTGAAAGCTTAGAAACAATTTCTTTTTAATGACTCACTCACTGGGAAGATTAAACTCTGCTTTTAGGACTTGTACTTTCATCTAAAAAACATTTACATAGGAAATTGATTAAGCATTGTTTTGAGATGATAAAGCTTATCGGAGGTTAAGAAGTATAATTTGATTAAGCAAACGCTTTGACTGATCTTGTGTAGAATCCAAAGAGAATCTTTTCTTCCCTTTTGTTCTTATAAACTAGTGGGAGAAGATAATTCATAAGCAGATTAAATAGAATTGCTGAAGCTGTGATAGAAATAATCAGCTGTGAAGGTAGAGAGAATAAATTTTTAAAGTAATAATTTAATCATCCAAGATTTTTACACTGGTAGATATTTTTAGTTCTATAGAATGTAGTAGCTGTTTACTTGATGACCTACATTTTTTTCTGGTGGAAGAAACAAAGTATTGTCCTACT